CCCCCCCAAAACCCCAAAACCCCAATGGTTAAAATCTATTCAATTTCAAATGTTTGAGATTTTTTTTATATTTTGAATAATAATATGTTGATATAATTTACGAATGATAATGGATATTAATAATTTATTCATTAGTGAGTAATCACATATTTTTCCAGCATTCATTCTATGATTGATATTGATTAAGGGTAATCAATCTGAATTTACTCTGTTTACTTCGAATACTTTTCTATTTTAATTCACTTGAACTTTAGTAATCTAGAACAATTTCTAATTGGCATATCGATCAAATTCAAACCTTTGTTTCTATGGTTTCAAGAGCTCTTCTTTTCTGTCCCAGTACCACTTGTAGACTTATACTCTTTGTAACCCTATTTCTGAGCTTATTTAGGTAATTAGATCTGAGTTCCATTTTTGATTTTACCTGAACTTATTACTTAGCATTTAAATCTAATCATCAGATTTCATATAATTTTACCTTATCTTTTAATTCCAAGCTCTATATGTTTTATTTTTTCAAGTTAGCTTTCTTCCTAGACCTCGGTAATTTTATTATTCTGCTCTATTTTCATACTTTCCTGATAAATTTTCAAAATTGATTACTTCTATTTCATTTCTATGAGACTCCTTTACATTAAATTTGAGAGAATGCTTTTATTCAATAGCTTTATCTTTTTATTAATTATCATGTTAAAAACTTTTGACTGTATTGTAAAATGATTATAGATCTAGAAAAGATGGTATTAAGGAGTTCTCTTGAGTAGTTTCAGAGCAGGCATTAATGTGATCTAGTCTTATTTTTGTGCCTGTAATCTTTAAATGTAGATTTCTATTGTTAGTATCAATATTTTCAATTTAATCTGATTGACTACTTGCTGATTTCTATGTTTCTACATTTTTCAGGTTATTCAAACTTTTTTTAAGTAAAAAAGAACCATTCTCTGCATTATTAAATTCATTTTTCAATCATAATCCACATATAAGATGCCTTTTATGTTTGAGTTATGGAGATAATTCTTATAATGAGGTGATATAATCATCTTAATCATATTTGATTTACTCTTTTTTCTATGTATTTGCAATGTTAAAGGAATATTATTCTTATTTAGAAACTTGAATTACTTCTTTTCTCAACATTTTTTCCAAAATTAATTCTTGATTTTTTAAAGTGATTGAGATTTCGTATTAAGGCAACTTTTTGTTACATTGATCTTATTTTTAGCAAATTTTATTGCATTATTAATTGCATTCTTGCAAAAAGATTTCAGAATGATTCTAGTTTTCTAATCTTTAATTTATTAACTTTTGTATTTCTTTTATTGTTCTCATACGGGAATGAAAATTAAGACAATCTAATTATTTTATTTAAATATAATTGATTTTTTCCCTTAGAGGTTAAAGTATTCAGACAATTATATATGATTAATTACATGAGTTTAATATTTTAAAGTATAATTTAACAATATATTGCATGCTTTTATTCTATTTCTCAATTTACAATGTATTTGGATATTTCAATTAGTCGGGGTTTTGGGGTTTTGGGGTTTTGGGG